CTATGGAATGACTTTGATAAAATTCACCATGAGCGGGGGAGGGGGGCCCCAGTGGGGGAGGGGAAAGGAGGTGGTTCTTAAAACGAATGAAGAAAACCTGTCCTCTTCACAATGCCAGGGGACTCCCAGAGTCCAGAATTTAGGTCATAAGCTTTGTCAGTCTGGAAGATAACACCAGTATCATCTTAAAACAATCTTTAGAATTCTAGTTTGAAACATTTTAGGGGCGCCTGGGTGGCTCAGTGGGTTGAGCCTCTGCCTTCAGCTCAGATCATGATCCCAGAGATCCCATTGTTCTGGGATCCAGCCCTGAAAGGCATCGGGCTCTCTGCTCAGCGGGAAGCCTGCTTCCCCCGTCTCTGCCTGCCTCTCTGCCTACTTGTGATCTCTCTGTCAAGTAAATAAATAAAATCTTTAAATAAATTTTTAAAAAAACTTTAAAGAAAAAGATTTATTTATTTATTTAAAGATTTTATTTATTTGCTAAGAGAAAGAAAGAAAGCATGAGAGGGGAGAAGGTCCAAGGGAGAAGCAGACTCCCCATGGAGCTGGGAGCCCGATGCGGGACTTGATCTCGGAATTCCGGGATCATGACCTGAGCCGAAGGCAGTCCCTCAACCAACTAAGCCACCCAGGCGCCCAGAAAGATTTATTTATTTGAGAAAGAGAGCATGCACAGGGAGAGGGACAATGGGAGAGGGAGAAGAGGCTCCTTGCTGAGCAGGGAGCCTGATGTGGGGTGTGATCCCAGGACCCTGGGATCATGACTTGAACCAAAGGCAGTTGCCCAACCAACAGTCACCCAGGTGTCCCCCCACTTTTTTTTTTTTTTTTGAAGATTTGTTTAAGAGCAAGTGGGGGCAGAGGGAGAGAATATCCAAGCAGACTTCTACTGAGTGTGGAGCCCAACAAAGGGCTGGATCCCTCCAGCCATAAGAGCAGGACCTGCGCAGAATCCAAGAGTTAACTGGCTGCTCAACTGACAGAGCCACACAGGCGCCCCTAGTGCCTTCAAAACTTTTTTGAAGCCTATTTTATTCTCATAGATCATTTTCTTCCATTACCTACTTCGACACATCTGAGTGTGAAAAAGCAGATGACTTAAGATTGCTAACTAGAAATACAGGGATCTTACTCTATGTTTAGAATGCAATATTGATACAAAACTGATTTTCCTTCTGTCAGACAAGTGCCATTTTATCTTTTCTCCAAGGTCTTCCCCAGCTCCCCAGTTCTAGTGGTCTCTGGCCACAGGCAGTCTTCCCTCACACCTGGCCTGGCTGTCTATCCCATAAGGGTAATCAACTTCACCTCCCTTCAGCAGACGGCATCTCCCGTTTTCATCAATATTTCCTGTGAGCTCACCAGTCAAAGTGAGGCTGTGCTAGTGAGAGCTCTGAAGGAGAAGGCTGGTGCAGGTGAGCACTGGGGGCTCCTGTTTTTAATCTAGAGAAGGAAAGACCACAGAATTTATTGCTTAATGAGAAACATTCAGCCACTTGGCTAGGATTACTCAAACTAGCTGGGGTATGGATCTTTATTTTCCAAGCCTACCTGGAGCATAACCTTTCAGGAAGCTCTCTTATCACCACCAAAGTATTCTACTTAACTGACATATTTAAGAGTAGTTATTAATTTAAGAACTTCGGTCTTGTTAATGTACTATTCTGTTGTAAACCTCTTGATAAATGATTTTCTTCAAAAACATCTGGCAGATCTTTTTGTATCAGGCAGTGGGCAAATGGTGACAGCCCTAGAACTAAGACTTTACTCTCCAAAATCCTGATTCTAGCCATGACTCAGTTTAGAAACTATGCCCCATCAAGGTGGTATGGGAACACGTGTAGTTATGGAAAAGTGTTAGGAAAGCCAAAGGATCATCCTCCTTATGCTGTCACCTCTACCTGCGCCCATCCCTCCAGAGAAAGTGTTCTTTGAATGAACTAGGAGTGAACTGGACTGAACCCTTGTTCGTCTCCCATGAAAGGAGGTCTGTTTCTACAAGCACGTGATATGTACTGGCCAATACCCTAAGTGCATTTTACATGCATTTGTTCTAACTCTGAAGTAAATGTTTTTCCCTTTGAGGAACTGGAGATGCTCAAGTTTCCATGACTAGAACCAGTGTTCAACCTGTGTCCTCTTGTAAATCTAGAGTCGTAATGGGCTTCTGCAAGGGTCCATGGATGGAATTCCAGGTGCGCATGACCCTCAACAGGGGAAGAACTGCACCTTTATTTTTTTAAGACTTTATTGGTCAGAATGACAAAGGGCACAGCAGAGGGTGCAGCAGGCTCCCCACTGAGCAGGGAGGCGGATGTGGGACTTGATCCCAGGACCCGGGGATCATGATCTGAGCCGCAGGCAGCCGCTTAACTGACTGAACCACCCAGGCACCTCTGCACCTTTATTTTCAATTAACCTCTAACTGAAACTTTCCATTTCCAATTTTATAAATATAGGCAACAAACCACAGTAATAGCAATATGTAGGACTCTGTCACCTACAGAATTCAGGTATTTTCATGTTCCAATTATTAGATACCAATGTTCACGTCAAAATTACACAAAAAATTACAGTAGTTATCAGACCTGACTCTAGGTCTTTGTTACTAAAGCACATTACTGTATCAAAAAAGGCCTTTTTAACATCCTGCTAAGTGTATACATATCTGTATCACAATTAAGTTTTTTTCGGTTTTGGTTAACTTTGATAAAACTGGTTTCCTTTATTCCTACACATTTTAATTTTTGCATTTAAAAACATTCTGAGATAGGATCCACAGGTGTCACCATACTGCCCAAATTGTTCATAGCATAATAAATGGTTAACCTCTGCACTTCGCAGAGCTAAAAGAGGGACCAGAGGGGATAGTACAGCCCTGGTGAGTAGAAGTGGTCAGACACAAAGATCCAACTCAGCCTTCAGCTTATCGACACAAGCACACTGAGTACCCGCTGGTATATACACCAGGCATGATAGCTAGTACAGGAATCAGATTTAAGACGGGGCCTAATGAAGGAGCTAGTCATCAGTTCACTGTAGCCAGAACTAAGCGGTGTTGGAAAGGCTGATCCTGTTCCAGAATCATAATCCTGTTCCTAATCCATTTATTTGGACTCTTACCCTGTAAATACTGGAAAGCCAAAAGCTTTCAACAATTGGACCTGATCAAGGATTAGTATAGAACATCTTGCTTTTAGTGCATCTTTATTTCAAACAACTTCAAACTGTTCTTCAGAGCAAAGCAATTTGTAAACAATTCTGAAACAAAGTACCATGAGAAGAGACCACTCCCAAGTCTGAAGGTTAGAGGGCCTACACTAGGGATGCAGAAGAGGAACTAGGTAGGAGGACCTGGCGACAATATGGATATATGGGAAGACCTGGAAGTTCAGGGGAGTCTGCTGGGGCAGGTGTTCATTTCTAGACACTGAAGAATTTGAAAAAACCAATGTCCAATGTCAGGTGTGCTTCAGAAACACAAGTCTTAAGTTTTATTGAGGACAGTGTTATACAAAAATCAGAATGCTCCCTAAAAACCACATCCTAAGTAAAAAATGACAAGGGAACCCTTGGAACTGAAAAGTGGTTGGTGATCCAAATAAGAATTTCAGGTTAGAGGGATCAGAATTGGAAGTTCAATCGCCACAATCACAAACTTGGTCAAGAGAGGAACGTCACTTGGAATTTAAAATACACAGGAAAGGTAACAGGCATCTTAAGGTAGCGTATCCATTTGTTAAACACCCATCTGTAAGTTGGTAAGAAATACAAGATTCCAAGTTTGGGAGTTTATTATCTAGGACATAAGAACAAGCCAAAGAGGCAGAGGAACCAAGTACATAATTCACCTCTTTAACCCTGTTGAGAAGCAAAACAACTTCCCCAAGGACTGGGTTCTGAGAGCTTCTGCCGCATACCCATGACCATGTGTTTTTAGCTTTAACTATTACATTGTATCGTTCTGACCAATACACAGATCAATGCGAAGACTCAGGTATCTTCCAGAAGTTCCTGGGTTCTCACCAGACCATCCTCTTTACCCTCTTTGCCGTGCTGGCATCAACGGCTTTCGTCTTTCTAGGTAAGGTACCCTTATATTCAGCACCATGGACGTTTGATTTATAAACTGCCTTCATCTAACTTCACCAACTATGAGAATAAAAATTAGATTATCACATCTCACTTGTGACAAACAGTTGGAACTCATTCAGCCTCCCTAGCCCTGGTCACCTAATGGACCAAATGTCCTGCCCAACTTACCACCAAGCAGTAAACTGCATGTGACAGACTCCGCTTGGAAGTGGAAACCACTGCTAAGCCTTGAGATAATGGCGATACCTGCCTTGTTCTTTTTCCAGCATACAATGCCTTCTTAAACAAGATACAGACGGTTCCAGTTGTTTATGTACCAACTCTAGGAACACCACAACCAGGTAAAAAATAACCACCCTCACCTATGAAAAGATCAAATTATTCATACTCCATCTGCTTCTCCTTTTTACTCCTAGGTTCTTATACCTCCACCACACGTTCTCCTCCACCCTTCATGAGTCCACAACCCCGACCAGGCCAAACTCGGCTACAACACTGGCTATGGAGTGTACGGCACTAACCTCCACTCGCACAAATCCCCTCAACTGTCGAGGACTGGAGCCATAAAGCCCCAAACTAGGCTTCTGAACGCTGTAAATAAACGATCCTAAGCTGTTCTACACTAAAGTGTGCTGGGCTGTGTTTTAAAGATTAAGTATCCCTTCTTCATGCTATGAAGACATAAAAGCGAAATAAACATTTTTATATAGCATCCCACGTTTTTATCAAGGTCGCAAAATTTACTCAGCGAACCTAACTGGACAGAATTGTCCCAAATAGACTTTTTAAGTACTTGGCCACTTACTTGCCCCAAATGACTCTAGCAGTCCACTCTTCTGGTTGCCCCCGAGTACTTGCGGTAGGAACTTCCTAGCAGTAAAACAAAGACAATAAACAGAACGTATCCAAAATCTGTTTATTGGGGTAGTGTCCCACTCATGTTGATTCCGGGTGCTTTTAGTGCTGCTTCCGCCTGAAGGAGCATCCTGGAAAGAGGAGGTTCAGAGGTTAACTTCCTGCCCACCCCACAAAACAAGGGCATGCCTGATGACCCCCCCCCCCGAAAGCTACGTCTTTACTTTCTTCTGAACCTGCAGCTCCCCCTCCAGCCGCGTGAGAAACACTACCGCCAGCTCAAACGCAGACCCTCTTAGGACTCCTCCGCCCGGCTTTAGCGCTCAGTGCTTGGGCACTAAGAAGTACGCGGTTTCCCCTAGCACCGTGTGCGGGGACGAACAACCCCTAAAACGACAGGCTTCACGAGGCAGCCAGACAACTCGACCCACTACCGCTCCCGCTTCACGAGGTTCGGGCCCCGACTCACCTTCTGTAAGCCTCGCCTTTCCTCCCGTGGGCTGGCAGAGGACGGTGGAGCAGCCAACACACAGAACTACCGTTTGCGCGTGGCTGAAGACGGTGGTGATTTTGTAGCATCCTGGGGACACACGCCAAGCAGCAGAGACTTAGGGCCGCCCGACGCCTGCCTTCGCGCGAGCGCAGGCCCGGCTGCGTTCCCGGTCAGAACAGGGACGTCCCGCCACCGCGAATCCACCGACCCCTCCGCGTGATGCGCCGGATCCACAGGCACGTTCGAGCCCGCCCGGGAGCAGCCCGCCGCGGTCTCGGGACTCCCCCACCCCCACCCCGGAGATCTGCCCCCCGCCGTCCGCAGGCCCCCCGGGCGGCGCCCCTCACCCGGGCACTTCACGTCCATGAAGTAGGAGTTGGGGCTCTGCACCAGGCGCTTCTTCTTGTGCTTCCTCTTCTCCTCTTCCGGGGACGGATGCAGGAGGTCCTTCGCGAGCTACGAGAGGCAGACAGGCGCGGTCAGGGCGGCGGCCGCCCCGGCGGCAGCGGCAGCTCGCGCCGCCCGGCGTCCGCAGCGGGGCCGCCATCTTACCCCCGCCTCGGGCCGCGCGCCGCCCGCCCCCGCGCCCGTCGCCTGAGGCCCGAAGCCCGCGGCCGGCCCCGGGGGCCCGCACCCGGCGGAGGGACGTGCGCGCGCGCGAGAGAGGCGAAGGCTTCGCCGGGACCCGGGCCGGGGAACTCACAGGCATGTTCTCGTGGGGAGGTCGTCACCGCCGGAAAGGAGCGAAAGCGGAAATCCTGCCGCTTATATCCGCCGACCGCCGGAAGTGACGCGCGCGCGTTGGGCAGCCATGCCGGAGTCCGCGCGCCGCCGCTGCCGGGACCGGCCGCCCGCCGACGGGGGTTGCGGCGCCGCGGGAGCGCGTCAGCAGGGGCGGCTGAGGAAGACGGGGCTGCCGAGCCGTGCCCGGGACTTGGCGGAGACCTTCGGTGTTTTTCAGTGGGTTACGCTGCCAGTGAGCTACGCGGGGCAGGAAAGCCCCCGTTGCCCGCGTCCCGGTCCGCCGCTGGGTTTGGTTGGGTCTTTCGGCCCCTTTCCTCGCACGACGACGACCTCAGACCCTGACGTACTGCTCCGCTCTCGGTGCGGGCCGAGAAGCCGCCCGGGGTCCCGCCCCCTCCCCGCCGAGGCGGCTGTGTCACTTGAGCCTCCCGCAGCCCTTCCCGCCGGTCGGCCCCGGCCCCGACTCTCCGAGCTTTCAGACCCTCGCGGCGCGGACGCGCTTGGCAGAGCGGGAAGGAAGCCCCACGAGGAGCGCAGCCCCGTCTCCCGCAGCCCCTTTGTCGCAAGGAGGCTCGAAGACGACGCGAGGGCGCCTTGGAGTCCCGGGAAAGGCGTGTGCGTCGCGGTCGGGGGCGTGCGGGGGAGAGCTCCGCCGGGGGCCCGGGGCCCTGACGTGCCTCTGCCAAGTTCGGTGGGGTGAGCCCCGCGCCGTGGCCGGTGTCGCACTCCCAGCGCGGCCTCGGGGAGCAGAACCGCCTCCAGCGCGCCGCCGGAGGCCGGAACGTCCCGAGGAAGCGGCCTTTCGGCTGAAATGGGCAAGCGGGGTGTCGGCCGGCGCGAGTCCGCGAGAAGAGCGTTGCGGGCTGATGGAAGAGCGGGGGAGGCCGGGGCCGGAATGAGGGGTCCCGGGCGGCAGGGTGCGGCGGAGAGCGGCGCCGCGCAGCCCGGCTTGCGGGCGGGAAGAGCCCAGATCGGGGCCGAAGGACAGGACACGCGGACGGGTCTTTAGCAGACGGGCCGTGAGAGCGGGCGAGCGGCTTCAGGGCTGGGTCGGAGCGGCGCCGTGGTGGCTCCGGCCATGAAGCCTCTGCCTCGGCTGGGGTCGTGACCCCAGGGCCCAGGCGTCCGGAGCCCCGCGTCGGCTCCCCGCCCGGCGCGCAGTCGGCTGCTCCCTCTCCTCCTCCCCCTGCTCGTGCGCCCGCCCGCTGTCTCGGTCAGAGAAAGAAAAGTGAGGGACGGAGGGGATGGGCCGGCGGGGCCTGGGCGCAAAGACGGCCGCGACGAGCCGGGTGACGAGAGGCGTCTCCGCACACCCGCACCGCACGCGCGGTGGCCGCTGTGAGAGAAGCGGTGGTTCGGTGTCCTCTCCAAAGGCAAAGATAACGAGTGTCTCCACAGCCGCGCCTGCCGTTCTGCAGCCTTTTCACGGCGCTGGACGGCGCTGTCCGGGCCGCCCCGGGCTGGCGTGAAGATCGTGCCCCGTCGAAGGAGGAAAGCAGACGGGTAGCCCTGGTCTCCGTCGCACCGGTCCCACACGGGGTCCCCGAATAAAGCCCCAGAATGAGTCTTGGCGAAAGCGTGTGTGTGTGTGTGTGGCAGGGGGGATGCGTGTACCGGTGTGATACGCGGTTGCGGTATATGTGTGCGGTGTGGTTCGTGTGTGTGTGTGCACGTACGTGTGCGCACGGCTTCTCTCCCCCCGCCCCGTGGGGCTGCAGGACGCCGCCACCTCACGCCGACCACCAGGGGGCAGAGCGTCCCCACAAGTGGCTGGTGTCGCGGGGCGTCGCGCCGCGTTCCAGGGGAGCTGGGCCGGACATGAGGGCGGGGAACCCCGGAGCCCAACAGGGCCCCGAAGGCGGCCAGCCTGGAGTGGCCCTCGGGTCCCTCGTCTCAGCACCACCCGCCGTGGTGGCTCCCAGTGCCAGCGCCGCCGTCAGCCGGCATCCCCCAGATTCCGTCCGCGTGGCGGAGGCGGCCCAGTCCCACGGCGTCCCCCGGCGCGGACTGCGAGCGCGCGGGGGAGGGGGCTGGGGGGGCCCCGGCGGGCGGCCAGGGGGTGGGGCCCACGGCAGGGCCGCCTCCCCTCTTTCCCGGAGCCTGGGCGGAGAGGGAGGAAAACTTCCTGGCCTGGGCTCCGTGCCGTTCCGTCCGCCAGCCCTGCGGGCCCGCCCACCCGCGCCTCCCCCGGCTCCCCAGTGTCCGCCATGGCCAAAGCCTACGACCACCTCTTCAAGTTGCTGCTCATCGGGGACTCGGGGGTGGGCAAGACTTGTCTCATCATTCGCTTTGCAGAGGACAGCTTCAACAACACCTACATCTCCACCATCGGTGAGCCCGCCGGCCGCGCCCCGGACCCCCGGCTCCCCCGGCCCTCTCACCCCTGCCTCTCCACGCGCGGCGAACCTGCCGGCCGCGCACCGACCCCCGGCTCCCCCAGGCCCTCACCCCTGCATCTCCACCGGCGGTGAGCGCGTTGGCGGAGCCTCCTGCCCTGTCCCACACCCCCGGCTCCCCCAGGCTTCCAGATTACTAGTGGCCCCACTTTTCAGTCCTCCAGAGGGAGGCTTCTAAACTCTCTCTCAGCCCAGTCTCAGACCCACCCCCCGCACATCTCTCCGAAGGGTACCCAACCTCGAAGCTCTCTGAGGCCGCGTAACTTCTCGGTTGTGCCAGCCCCTCGTTTTCCTGGTATCGTCCTTCTCTCTCATCCACGTCCTTCGCCCCAAATCCACATGAACCCTTCTGCGTTTATCGCCGTGCATCTCTCCCCACCCCCACCCACCTATAAGTCTTGACCCCCTCTGGATTTCCTGTGCCCCCTGTCCCTGAACATGCTTCCAGTTCCATTAGCCTCTTTCCATCTTGCTGAGTTTCAGACCCTCCCACTGCATCCCCACCTTACCACTTCCCAGTCTCCCTGCCCTTCAGCTTAATGGGGGTGGGCAGGGTGGGACAGAGTGACCCTCTGTCCTAGAAAGTGGCCCAAGTACTGGGAAGGTGGATATACAGTCAGCCAGGCAAGGAGGGTAGGAGTGGGGGAACTTTTGGGGGCTCTGAGTCAGCCTGGTGACTCAGCCTCCTTGCTAGGCTCCCAAAGGGCTCTGGGGAGGGGCCCACGTTGTCACTAATAACGGTGCCTCCCCTCCTCCCTTCTTGTCTTCATCTCCTCTGGCCTGGGAAATAAAACAAGGGGAGTCTCAGGACAATTCTGGTCAGAAAAAGAGAGGAAAATGCCCCCTCTTTCCTGGTTCAGCCTCGGGAGGAATTTGTCTTGCTTGCCAGTGTGGCGGCTCCTTGACTAACATAAACTGCCTCAGCTGGCTCTTTCTCCTGTAGGGCTGGAGGGTGGCGGGGGCACCGAGAGTACAGTGTACTAGGAAAACAGAAGGGAAGAGGAAGCTGAAAGGCCTATTTTAAAAAAAGGTTTTATTTATGGGGTTGCCTGGGTGGCTCAGTGGGTTAAGGCTCTGCCTTCGGCTCAGGTCATGGTCTCAGGGTCCTGGGATCGAACCCCGTGTCGGGCTCTCTGCTGAGCGGGGAGCCTGCTTCTCCCTCTTCTCTCTGCCTACTTGTGATCTCTCTCTCTGTCAAATAAATAAATAAAGTCTTTTTTAAAAAATTTTACTTATTTGACAGAGAGAGGGAGAGATCACAAGTAGGCAGAGAGGCAGACAGAGAGAGGAGGAAGCAGGCTCCATCCCAGGACCCTGAGATCCTGACCTGACCCGGAGGCTGAGGTGTAACCCACTGAGCCACCCAGGTGCCCCTGAAAGTCCTATTTTGAGGGAGACACTGAACGAAGAGAGCTGTCAGCTGGGGTTGCTGGGTGGACCCAAGAGGTGCCTGAAGCTGCCCAGGAGAACTTCCATCACTTAGCCCTCCCAGATCCGTAACATCTCAAGAAAAACAATATGCTTACTGTACAAATACAGCTTTGAGAAAATTCTAGTTTCACTTGCAACAAGGTTGCTTCCCGAGTACAGCCCCTGCAGAGTTCCTAGTACTGCGGTGCCCCAGTCCCTCGTCTCCCAATCCTCCCTGGGTCTCAGCTTCAGCGTGTGGGCTCCCTCCTAGGAATCGACTTCAAGATCCGCACTGTGGATGTAGAGGGGAAGAAGATCAAACTGCAGGTCTGGTGAGTGAACCCTCAGCACTGCGGGGCATATTCCCTCAGTTCCCTCCTGGCACCAGTTCCCTCCCTCTCCCCACTGCTCCTTCTGCCACTTCTCCCAGGCCACTTCCTGTCACTGCCCTCAGACGTCCTCCTTCCATCTCTCTTCCAGCCTGCTCAACTATTTTCAGCTTTTTCGTAACTCTCTCGCCTCTCCTGGCTCCAGAGCATTCTCTGAACTTGACAGTAGATGTCTGCAGGGCTGTCCCGTGGGAAGGGCATTCAGGCAGGTCCCCAGCAAGCGGCGGAATTGAGACGGTCAGTGTGTGCTCTCCCTGAGTCATGGAGAGCCTGGAGAGCCGAGCTGCGAGGGCCAACCTGCCTCGGGAGAGCTGTGGGCTGCCGGCTGTGGAAGCGGGGGCGGCCTGGAGAAGCTTTAGGACGCAGTGGAGAAGAGCAGGTCGGGGCTTGCTGCTGAATGACTTTCATCCGTTACTGAGCCCCTCCGGATCTCTGCCCTCGTTTGTAAAGCAGGGACCAGACGACATGCGTCACGAGGGTAGGGCGAAGGAGGCGCTTGGCACGGAGTAAGTGTTCGACAGATAAGCCCGAGAGACCTTGTCCTTCAGGTCTGTGTCATCTCCCAGCCGTCCTACCTCCTTTGCCCCCTTTACTGTTTTCTGATGCTGTTCCTTTCAGCCCCACCATGTTGCAAGAGCTACATTCTTAGCAGGGGCATTTCTGTCTTTGGAGAACCATTCCCTCTTTCCTGCCCCTTCTTCAGGGACACGGCTGGCCAGGAGCGATTCAAGACGATAACGACTGCCTATTACCGTGGGGCCATGGTACGAGGTGTGGGTCTGGATGAGGGATGAAGCAGCAGAGTGGAGCTGTATGAGTACCCATGGGCAGGGCTGGGGTGGGGAAATTGGGAGGGGGCACAGTGCGCGAGGTGGAGGACCCCACACGGACTATGGGGAGAAGCTTGGAGAGAATTTGCAGGGTTACTTGAAGGGGCAGGAAGCCGAAACGGGGGGAATGGGGCCCAAGGCTCCATGGTGAACTCTTGCCATCCCGCAGGGCATTATCCTAGTATATGACATCACAGATGAGAAATCCTTCGAGAATATTCAGAACTGGATGAAAAGCATCAAAGAGGTAAAGATCCTCCTGAAGAGATGGAAGACCAGGAGCCGTGAAGGTGAGCAGGACCCCACTTGACTCTTCCTGCCTTTGTGCTCCCAGAACGCCTCAGCTGGGGTGGAGCGCCTGCTGCTGGGCAACAAGTGCGACATGGAGGCCAAGAGGAAGGTGCAGAAGGAGCGCGCTGTTAAGGTGAGGCCCAGGCCAAGATGGAGTTGGGTTCCAGAAGGCTGCCGCCCTTTACCCACCTCTCTTCTTCTCCCCTCCACCCCACAGCTGGCTCGCGAGCATGGGATCCGATTCTTCGAGACCAGTGCCAAGTCCAGCACAAATGTGGATGAGGTGAGACATGCCCCAAGCCCACCCCCACTCCCAGAGATGGCCGATAGACAGCAAGCCTGCCCTCCCCTCCGGCCTGTTCTGACCACTCACTCCTTTCCCCATCAGGCTTTCAGTTCCCTGGCCCGGGACATCTTGCTCAAGTCAGGAGGCCGGAGACCGGTGAGTTGGTTCTGCTGGGATGGGCACAGCTGTGTGTGCATGAGAGTACCTGTTAGGAGTGAAACCCCTGGAGACGAGCAGTGCTAACGCCACCCAAGGGTGGATCCCCTTCCAGCAGTGTACAGACCCCAGACGGCCACTGTCACCCTGATCCTGTGCCCTTCCCCCTCCAGGGAAACAGCCAAAAGCCCCCCGGCACTGACCTGAGAGCTTGTGACAAGAAGAACACCAGCAAGTGCTCCCTTGGCTGAGGACCCTAGGCCCGGAGGCTGGACCTGAGGGAGGCAGGGCTGTGGGTGGGCAGGGGAGGAACAGCACATGGGACTTGGAGGGGCTGGAGGTAGGTAGATGGTGGAAGACTAGGAGCAAATGGAGAAGAACACGGGAAGGCGAGAGATGAAAAGGAGGTGGAATAGAGAGGGAAGGAGAAGCAAGGAGGAGAGAGGCGAGGGAGTAACAGGAGGAGAGGGGGCAGGAAGAGACGGGAGGAGGAAAGAACCGGCCCTGGGTGTCAGACCTTCCCTGGGCTTCTAGGGCAGACATAAATGTAAATAAACAGTTGATTTGTTGCTACTGGATCAGGTTTTAGGGTTGTGTGAGAAGGTGGCTCAGCACCCCCTCTGGAAGTTTGACCCTATGACCCTGCACAGTCTTGTCAGTATGAAGGACTAGCACCCACACAAAGGTCCCTGGTTTGGTGACATTCATCATCAGACCCAATTCCTGCCTCTGAGGTGGTTGGGCGGCCGGAATCAGGCTGGCTTCCTGTGACACCGGGACCTGTCCCCACATGGATGAGGAAAAGACCAGGAGATTCTCTGAACCTGGAGATCTGGACATCCTTTTTCTGTTATACGGTTGAGAGGAGCCTTGTGGGCAGAGCCTTGCCTGGTTTCCAGAGGACTCTTTCTTAGGCCTTCCCAGGGGAGTGACAGCCCTAGACTCAAGGAAGTAACAGGTCCTGGTTTTATCCTGTGATTTCTTCAAGCGTCTCTGATTCCACCACCAGTCCTCTTAGGTAGCTGGTAGGCATTATTTTCCACTTTTATAGATGAGGAAAATGAGACACGGAGGAGATTCATTTAGTCATAAATCTTTTTTTTTTTTTTTTTTAACATTCATTTATTTATTTATTTATTTGAGAGAAAGAGCGTGCGAGCGCACACAAGGGATGGGGCCAGGAAGCAGACTCACCGCTCCGCAGGGAAACTGACGGAGTGGTGGACGCCAGCGCGGGGCTCTGGGATCATGACCTGAGCTGAATGCAGATGCTTAACTTACTGAGCCACCCTGGCACTGTAATCATTAATTTTTTTTTTTTAAGATTTTTATTTATTTATTTGTCAGAGCAGTTGCACACAGCAGGGGGAGTGGCAGAGGCAGAGGGAGAAGCAGGCTCCCCGCTGAGCAGGGAGCCTGATATGGGACTCGATCCCAGGACCCCAGGATCATGACCTGAGCCGAAGGCAGACGCTTAATGGACTGAGCCACCCAGGCGCCCCACAGTCATAAATCTTTATTGAACATTTAGTATGTGCCAAACACAATGGTCAATTTTGGGTGGAACTTACAAAAAGGACAAGCAAATTTTAACAAAAACAGTTCCTGGGGCACCTGGGTGGCTCAGTGGATTAAGCCCCTGTCTTCGGCTCAGGCCCTGATCTCAGGGTCCTGGGATCGAGCCCTGAATCCGGCTCTCTGCTCAGCGGAGAGCCTGCTTCCCCCTCTCTCTCTCTGCCTGACTCTCTGCCTACTTGTGATCTCTCTGTCAAGTAAATAAATAAAATCTTAAAAAAAAAAAACAAACAAACAACAGTTCCTAAGTACTGAATAACAAAGAGGCAAAACTACTGGCATGCTAAAAAACCACCACCCAGGGTCGCCTGGGTGGCTCAGTGGGTTAAAGCCTCTGCCTTCGGCTCAGGTCATGATCCCAGTGTCCTGGGATCAAGCCCTACATGGGGCTCTCTGCTCAGCAGGGAGCCTGCTTCCCTTCCTCTCTCTCTGCCTGCCTCTCTGCCTACCTGTGATCTCTGTCAAATAAATAAATAAAATCTTAAAAAAAAAAAAAGGAACCACCACCCACAAACTCAGGCTTGATGACGCATAGTCCCCATAAACATACACAGCCGCCTTGGACACTTGCACAGGAGTTTCTTTTTTTTTTTTTTTTTTATAAAGATTATTTATTTATTTGACAGGCAGAGATCACAAGTAGGCAGAGAGGCAGGCAGAGAGAGAGAGAGAGGAGGAAGCAGGCTCCCGGCTGAGCAGAGAGCCCGATTTGGGGCTCGATCCCAGGACTCTGGGATCATGACCTGAGCCGAAGGCAAAGGCTTAACCCACTGAGCCACCCAGGCACCCCTTGCACAAGAGTTTCTAAACAGCCAAATTATCTCACAGACAACCTTTTATCAGGGTTAATGAAAATGGCACATTTGGCTTCCACAAGTTTAATTTTACAGATAGGAAGTTCAAGGCACTTCAGAAATCCCCGTGCTGGTGGCATGGAAATGGATGGCACAACCTTGGGTCAGCAGCATCTGTGCCACTGTTTGTTGGTAAAGGACAACACCAGGGAAAAGCCTGACCATGCTGGGAGGAGAACTTCGGAATGATTGCATACGTGTGTTAAGTACCAAATTTCTGCGGGGTGAAGATCAGCCCTGGGCTCTGTAGCCAGCAGCCCAGCTGGTGTGCTTTGCTCAGGGTTATGAGGAAAGACTTGCATTTTGTGAATCCCAGGAAGAACACTGACATCTTCATCACACCTCAGAGCAGATGTTTGAAAATCCAGTATCAGAGGCGCCTGGGTGGCTCAGTGGGTTAAGCCTCTGCCTTTGGCTCAGGTCATGGTCTCAGGGTCCTCTGATCGAGGCCCACATCGGGCTCTCTGCACAGTGGGGAGCCTGCTTCCCCCCACCCCTGCCTGCCTCTCTGCCTGCTTGTGATCTGTCAAATAAATAAATAAAATAAAAAAAAAAGAATCCAGTATCCGTGCAGAAACCTATTCAGTTGCTTGGTACAGCTGTTGGAAGTGAGAGTTTAGGGCTCCCACAGCTTGTTACCAGCCGTGGTCAGTTTTGATAAGGAGTAACAGGTTGCTAGAAGGATTTCATCCAAACTTTCCTAACCACTAAAAGCTACTGGAAAATACACCTACTTCCCGTTACATACAACTATAGACATGTACAAACAGTAACTTAAAGGAATGAGCAAACAGTCACAAGAAAAGTGAAGTTTGGTCTCAACTCCCATCTGATGGTCTTTCCACAGTCTGATCGTTCCTGCTCCTGAGGACCCAGCAGCCTTTATGGGATGCAGCATTGCATATAAGCTTCAACTTAAATGCAGTGCTCTAGCCCTTAGGGCTGTGGGGTGGGGGGAGGCCAGAAAGACTTATGGGGATAGGAGAATGTGGGGTAGGGTTAACCAAACAGGCAAGCCGTTTCGTCTTGAGAAGTGGGGGACAGATTACTACTAGTGACCCTAATTGTATGAATTTAAGTACCCCCTGAACTCACTCGGTCTTATTGTCTGGGAGGCTGTGAACCCACGTGTATGTAAAATTAGGAGGAAATTACGGGCAGAGTTCGATTGCCAGGCAGTAAAGCACGAACCCAGAGAGCAGGCCAAGTCTCCCGGAGGGTTATCTCCATGGGGAGGAAAGCGGGGGGTTAATCTTTGGCCTTGGGATCGCTCTTCTGGGCCCTCCCGCTCAGTCTCTGGGTGGCCTTGCAAGTCACTTCTACTCTGAGCTTACAACATAGGGACAAAACGGGATCACCGAAGACCAAGGTGACCGAAACGTTGACGTCAAGAAGTAGGACAGTGATGGGACCCAGTGCAATCAGAGGAAAAAGAAAATATTGGTTGCATGTCGTCCTAACCCTGGAAACTGCGCACGAACGTCCCCGTTTCCGAGGCTACCGAGAGGCGGCCGGCGCCCTGCAAGCCCGCCTCGGTTCTCCCCGGGACTCCCGGTCCCGCGCTCCCGTCCCGGGGCGAATGGCGCTCCCACCGGGGAGCCGGAGCGCGGAGCTCGCCAGGGTACCAGGCCCGGGGACAGTCCGGGAGCAGCGGCGCCGGCGGCTCGGCCGGGGGAGCGGAGACACCACGCCCCGGGCTGGGGAAGTGCGGGGGCGCCTCGCTCCCAGGACCATCCGGGAAGGAACGGGGCCGGATGGCGGCTCTGCGGGACATCCCCGCGCTTTCGGAGGTGGCGGCGGACGGTTCCGTGTCGCTGCTCACCTCGCCCACAGGGGGCCAGTGGGCGGCCACGCAGAAGGACACGGCCGCCGCGAACACCGGCCAAGCGGCCCCTGCCTAACTCGCCGCCTGCGGAGGGCCGAGACTCGCGCGCCTGCGCGGAACGACTCAGCCGCGGGAACCCTCCCAGGTCCCGGCATTCCCCGCGCTGCGGCCTTTTCTCCCGCCCCGCCCCTCCCCCCAACGCGGGCCCGGCATCCTCCGCGGAGCAAGATGGCGGCGGCCGGGACGGCCCCGGAGGCGACGAGGAGCTAGGCCGTCCGCCCCGCGGCCTCTCCCGAGGGCCGGGCAGGTCCCAGGAAGCGAGCTCAAGCCCAGTCCAACGAAGGCGTGATGGCTTTTCCTGCCGTGGCCGTGGGGACGCCCCAGTGATGCCTCTGCCCTGAGAGGCAGTGTCGGCTTCTCGCAGCCCTGACTGGACCGCCGGAGCCTGCGGCGGAAGCGCCCCGGCCGAGGCCCGAGGCCGGTCTCGCAAGGCCCTCCGCCCCGACAGGCGCGACCCTGAGCGCTCCATGCCTGCGGGCGGAGGGAGGCGGCGCCTCCCCCAGGGCTGCCACCTCTGTTGGCTGCTCTGCGCTTTCGCCCTAAAGCTCTGGTGAGGAGCGGCGGAGGGGCCGGGAGGATCGCGTCGTCCCCGCCCCTCGTGGGGCAGGGGGGGTGGGGGGAGGGCGCGCGGGATCCGACGCCGCGGAGGTGGGGACTTCCCTGTTTTCTGGCTTCTGATTTGTGCCTCCCCGTCCCCCACCCTCCTCGCTCCGGCTGCAGCCAGGCCGAGGCCCCCGCGCCCGCGGAGAAGCTGTCAGGTGGGTGATGGTGCGCCGGCCCGGCCCCCAGTCCTCCCACCGAGCCGGAGCGCAGGTGGGGACGCGGGCGGTCAGCGGTGCTGGGAGGTCGGGTGGGGACGCGGGCGGTCAGCGGTGCTGGGAGGTCGGGTGGGCCGCACCTTCGCGAGACCCATTTTCCGAACGAGGTCTGGGGCTGGCCTTTCTCTGCCGTTGCAGTGGGCGCCTCGAACCTGCCGTGCTGGCTGGTGGAAGAGTTCGCGGTGGCAGAGGAGTGCGCGCCGTGCTCCCGTTTCCAGGCCGTGAGTATGTGCTCCCTCCCCGCTGCCGTCCCGGCCTGCGTGTGCCCCAGCATCGCCTTTCGGTGTTTTTCCTTGCAGTTTCGGTGTGTGTCCCCCTGAACTGGTTTCCCTCCGAAAATGTGCCATATCCTAAGTTAATGGTAATATTTGGCTAATAATCATATTCATTTAAAGAAAACCGTACTTTTAGGGGCACCTGGGTGGCTCAGTCAGTTGAGCCTCCTTGACTTTCACCTGGGTGGTGATCTCAGGGTCGTGCCCCTTCTTGTGGGGATCTGGGCTCTTGCTTGACATTCTCCTCTCTGCCACTTGCCAGGTTCATGTGCCCTTACTCTAACTCTTTGAAGATTTTTTTTTAAGATTTTATTTATTTGACAGACAGAGATCACAAGCAGGCAGAGAGGCAGGCAGAGAGAGAGGAGGAAGCAGGGTCCCCACTGAGCAGAGAGCCCGATGTGGGGCTCGATCCCAGGACCCTGAGATCATGACCTGAGCTGAAGGCAGAGGCTTTAACCCACTGAGCCACCCAGGCACCCCTGAAGATTTTTTTTAACCTATAATTATTACAAACCGGTTTTGGGTTTTTTTGTGTGTGTGTTTTGGTTTTTTTTTTTTTTTTTCCCTAATAGACTTTATTTGTAAGACAGCTGGTGCATAAGCCTGGGGGTGGGGCACAGGGAGAGGGAGAGGGAGAGGCTGGATGAGGGGCTCCCTCCCAGGACCCTGGGATCATGACCTGAGCTGAAGGCAGAGGCTTAACCATTTGAGCCCTCCGGGAGCCCCTAAATATCTTAAAGTAAGCGCTAGGGCAAAGTGAGGCTGGAGCTCCTAACTCTGAGATCAAGACTTAAATGCTGACTGAGCCAGCTAGGCACCCCGGTCATGATCATTTTTAATCCCATAGGCTCTGGAATCTGTCCCTCTTAGACTGTTGCCTCTGAAGTGTTCTAATATGTTAATGATCACTCAACCAGTACCTCCACCATCCCCATTAGAACTCTCTCTTGGGGCACCTGGCTGGCTCAGTCGATAAGTGTCTGCCCTCAGCTCAGGTCATGATCCCTGGGTCCTGGGTTTGAGCCCCACATCGGGCTCCCTGCTCAGTGGGGGCCTGCTTCTCCCTCTCCCTGCTTGTGTTCCCTCTCTTGCTGTCTCTGTCAAATAAAGACAATCCTTACAAACAATTTCTTTGTTGGTTCTCTGTTGCCCATCAGCTCTGAGCCATAGCGGGTGGACACCTGGCACTTCTGAATGGCAGTTTTTCTGCTTCTGCTGCCCTTTCCTGACATGTGCTTTGGTCCTTTTCTTCTGACAGAAAACCACCCCTGAGTGTGGTTCCACAGGGTATGTGGAGAAAATCACATGCAGCTCATCTAAGAGGAATGAATTCAAAAGGCAAGTGTTGTTTCTCATTTTGGAACCTTCTAGATCACATCTTTTGTTCTTGTGGTGTTAGGCAGACTAATAGCCCCACATCTTTCTGTCTGGAGGTCGTGTGGCATATGGGGGTCGGGGGAACCAAAGTATTTGAATCCACATTCCAGCTCTCATCCTCAGCACTTCATCATTGGTCTCATTTTCTCATCAGTAGAATTGGTTAATACCAGCTCTGTTTACCTCACTAGAAAGTAAGTTGAACGTCAGATTCAAGTGGGATTTGTATAGGGTAAACACGTTAGAAGGATGACTGTGGCTTCTTCTTTTCTCTCAGATGTATCTTGATTAGGCTTCACTAGAAGGGAGATTGGAGGGAGAGGTGGTTCAGCCTTCCCTGGAAATAACTGTTTCTTCCTGCTCTTAGCTGCCGCTCAGCTCTGATGGAACAACATTTATTCTGGAAATTTGAAGGGGCCATCGTGGGTGTGGCCTTGGTCTTTGCTTGCCTTGTCATCATTCGTCAGCGACAGCTGGACAGAAAAGCTCTGGAAAAGGTCCGGAAGCAAATCGAGTCCATATAGCTACCTTCCACTTTTTGATAGGAGCCTTAGGGATTGTACCTCAGACACAGACAGTAGAATGAACGGACTTGGGCCCTTTGTTCTTGGGAACTTGTGGTGGCACCTACTTCTCTGTCTCTTGTCTAGATCATTAACGAGCAACATACAGAATAGTTTTCTTCTCTATTATAATTTGGTTTGGGACAGGAAGTCCTGGTGGCAGAAATGGGACAGCAGCTTTAGGCCCCAGTGTACCAACTGCCTGTCTTCCCCTTTTCCTGGTACTTATTTAAAATTTTCAGGACAGAATTTCAGCAAAAAAGTTTATTTCTCAGCCAAAACCTCTGTTTCCCCCCAACCCTAACCCCCCCCCCAAAAATAAAATTGCAGATGTATAACAAGAGTATCTGAAATGCCTCATCACATAGCCTGGGCCTCAGGGTACAGATACTTAGAGTGTCCTGAAATGATTCAGACCCCGAGGCCAAAGAACTCCGAATAGGAATCCCAGGGGAAAGAGCCATCGGGGATCCTGGATTCCTTACTGTGGTTGGAAGTGGCCTGGGAAATGTTCCAGCTCACATCTCATCTGCATGCAGGACAGTTCTGACATGCCCACTGGGGCCTGTCTTCCCTCCCCTCTTCTCCAGCAGGTTCCTTGTTGAGCCATTGACACCCGTGGCCCTAGGTGGCCCCTCCAATCCGGGCTCTACCGCTGTGGACTCCAAGTTTTCTGTCATGTCCTTGTGAGTCAGGATATTTCTGGAAATCACTGTGGGCAGTAATAGAGTGTTCCCTTGGATGGGGGGTCCTAGAGAGGACGGGACCGACCTCCCACCTTCTGACTACCCCCAGAAAGCAGAGTCCCACCCTGCCCCGCCTCACCTCCCTGTGGCTGGTGATCATTGGTGCCAGCTTCCCGGAGACCCTGCAAGGGGCTGACACTGGGCAGGATGATGAGGGCCAGAGAAAAAAGGAGGATCTGGAGAAAGCAAAGGGACACTTGGGTTGTGGGGACACTAAAGGAGGGGCCCAAGGGCAGCATGAACAGAGGGCAGTTGCAGTCATTGGGGATGGGAAGGTGGGTACGGTTGGGAGTGGGGGTGTCAGGGTAGAGGTGGGGGCAGATGGGAAGTAGGCAGTACCAGAACACAAGCGCCGGTCTGGGCAGCTTTGCTGGAGGTCTGGGCAGTGAGCATCCGCAGCCGGTGGAGCTGAGCTTCCAGAGCGCTGGCGCACCAGAGAGAGGAGGAGGAATGGAGAGTCCGCTCTCCTGGGAGCCGGGCCAGGAATGAGCCCTGTGTGCCACACGCCCTCCCCCCGGGGCGCACTGTCCTCTGTCACGTACATATTGTGCCTCTCCAGCTCCCGGACTTTCTTCTGTAGTTCCTGGTTCTGTGCAGAACAGGCAGCTGCTCTAGAGCGCGGGAAGGTAGCACAGTGCAGTCACGTGGCCCCAGACCCGGCCTGCCTTGGTAAGGGAGGAGTCCCCCAACGTGGCCCACAGGGGGCAGACACTAAGTCCAGACATACCTGCTCTCCAGCCCGTCGATGTACTCTTTCTTCCGTCGCCGACTGTCCTGCGCCGACTGCTTGTTACGGATCTTCCTCCTGACCTTCTTGAGGGCCCTCTCCTCTGCCTGGGGGCCCCGGGTGTGTCAGTGCTGGGCCTTTCACCTGCCTCAGCTCCCCACGTGCTCTTGTAATCCTGGCTCTTCAGAGGCCATGTTGGGGCCACTGGGTTGGGTTTGGGATACTCTCTGGGGGAGCATGTTACCTTAGTGAGGGGCAGGTGAGACGGCAGGGAAACCCCTTCCTGTCCCAGCAGACGCTTCTCCTCCTCTGTCAGGAACAACGTGTGACAGGGCAGCTGGTGGAGAACAGAGAAAATCGATGAGGGGAGAGGGTCTTCCCTTTCCCATTACCCAGGACCACGCCCCCTACACACCTGGAGAGTTTCTCATTTGTACTAAGGAATAAGTAACCATGAAATGAGGTGAGGGAGGGAACTTCAGACAGGCCCTGGACCAAGCCAGAGGGGCCTCCTGGGGCTGTGAAGGGACAGGAGGGCTTATGTTACATGCTTTGCCCCCAGACTTAGGACCTTGGCACTCTGAGCAAACTAGGGAGGGCTTGTTCTGGTGCGTGCCTCCCCGATTCCGAAGGGTGTTTGAAGACAGGAACTCACTAAGGCAGGGTTTGCTTGATCTCACAGCAAGCAAATGATTCCCTTTTGCCCGTTAACTTTCACTGGGCAGTGTGTTGTCTCAGCAGGGACAACGTCAGGAAGCTCCCTGGAGCAGTGACCCATTTGCCCTCAGGGTCTGAGCCCCACTTTCAAGACTAAAGCTCGGTCTCCTCACAAAGAACTCCCAAGGGTCGCCAGACTTAGCTTCTCGTAACACAGTATGTGGGGCAGGTAGATGACATCTGGGGAACCTGAGCCTGTCAACGGAGGAGCCTGCCTTTCCGATGCTCCTTTTTGAAATACTTGTGCTTCACTCTGACTTCAGAGGAATTTGTCTCTGCTGTTGGCTCCTGATGGCCTTTGGCATTTAGCCAAGCCATTTCTTGTCGTCTTGCCTCTTCCTGATGATCCCTTGCTCCCCTGAAGCCACAAACTCCCTAGTGTTTTGATGGGAAAGCAAGCCTAGAAGCATCAGACTTTTTAAGGTCCCTCAATTCTGAGCTGCTTGGCTTGGACCCTGGGGCCAGCTTCAGCCAGAGACTGGCAGGAAGACTAGAACTTCTTTCCAGTGACTGTTGGTCAACAGTGACCTGAGAAAGACCCCTTTCTCCCCCTACTGCAGAAAGCGGAGCAGCCAGTCTTCCGAAGGCACCTGTGTGTTACCCCCCAGGGTGGTGGGTGCAGCTGCACAGCTGTTTTGGCGGAAAATTCTCCACCCGGTGCCTCCTAGCAGGCTGAATCCCCAGGCAGCCAGCCCATCCCACTCCGTGTCCTGACCTATGGCTGAGTAAACTGCACACAAGATCTGGGCTTTCTCCCAGGCCCTCTGCCCAGATTCCCTCACCCCACCTTCTCCTTATTTGAGTCGTCACCACCTTACTTCCAAAGGCTTCTGTCTCCCTTGTCCTTTCGTGCTCTCAGAGTTGCTCATGCCTCTCTGATCTTCAGGGCCCACAAAAACTGGGGCAGGGTGAGCATGAGTGTTTCCCTTCCTCAGTCCCTCACCCCATCTGTGTGGGTGCGTCTCTTTGCTGGCCAAGACTCACCAGGGTCGCGGGAGGCACTGGGTTTACAGCGCCCACTCTGGGTAGCGTGTGAGCATGAGCAGCGAGGGGCAGCTCCCCGACAGAGCAGGCAGCAGGCGCCGTACATGGTGGGCTCCGTGGACCTGAGGGAGACACAGGTGGCTAGGAGAAAGGAGAGGAAGGGTAGACCCTAATGGCAGCGGGGCCTGGGGAGAGGCACAGGTTGGGGAAGCCCCTTAGCCCCGGGAATAGGGCTGGACCTGAAAGGCCACTCTCCCCTTCCCACAAAGAACACTGACCTAGCTGGAGAGAGATGAGCCCTACAGCCGGCCCAGCTTCCGTTTGCCGCCTCTCCAGGCCCCCTGCCTCATAGACAACCTCACAGAGAGCCGGGGAACTGTGTGCGAGGCCAGGGTCCTTGGAGATGGCCCTGTCAATGCCACGAGAGGCCTCTGAGCGGTCCACTTCATTGGGATCAATGAACAGCGGCAGGAAGTCTTCGGGCTCACTCGCCTGAAGGCCCTGCAGTGTGAGAGAGCACGCAGGTGTGCAGGGGAGAGTTCTGGAGAGCGGCGCGCCATCAGACCAAGGTACGCCCCGCTTCAATTTCAGTCCCCCGTGTCCTGGGACATCTTAGGGGCTCGGTCTCCAGATGACTCCCCTCGCAGCTGTGTCTCGGCCCACCCCCACCTGCGTGCCTCACACTCACACAGCCCCGTCCCCCGCTGGGCTCCCAGCCTCCAGGCTCTCGGAGCTGAGGCCCTGGGAGCTCCGGGGCGGGGCAGGGGAGTCCCAGCTCCAGGAAGGCTCCTGCTGAGACCTCTTCTGGGGGCTCCAGCCACACGTCCAGCAGGTCGGGGGTTCGGAACTCCATCCTGCGGGGAGAGCTGCAGGAGGGTGAGCGCACCCTCCCCACGCAGCTGCTGGGTGCCCCCTTCCTCACCTGGCCCCCGGGGGTCTTCTCCCGTCACCCCCTTGCCTCACCTGCCCCTCCCCCCCGGGGGGGACCTCGCCTCCGGCCTTCTCTCTGCTTCAGACGAACGGGCCCACCGCCGCCTAGCCGGTCCCGAAGAGCCCGGCCCCGCCGAGCCGGCCCAGCCCGCGGGCGGCCCGGAACACCGCCGCTCCTCCTCCCTCCAGGATCTCGCATCCTGGACCGGCCCAGCCAAGCCCCGCCCCCGGCCTGACTCCGGCCGCGCGAAGCGGGCTGTCCCTGGCCGGGAGCCACGGCGGGGGCTGGGAGCCCAGGCGTCCGCGGACCGGATTGCGGGAAGGCACGGGCAGCCCTCCCGGCCTCAGTTTCTCCTAGCGACAGCAAATCTTCCCGAGAGTCTGGGGGCTCTTCAGGGAAGGACGGCGATGGCTGGGACCGGAGGACACGAAGTGCCCGTTCTCCCGCCGTCACTTGGTCAGACGAGCGCACCACAGGCCGGAAAACAAAACCGGGAAGCGGCGGCCGACCGCCGGGCACTGGCCGAGGCAGCCTCGAGGCGCTCTGTCCGCTCTGGGGTCTGATTGGACGCAAGAGGATGAGGGGCAGGACATGGAGCCAATGGGAGCGCCGCCTCGAGGCAGGCTGCGCGCTGACTGGTCGGAGGCTGCCAAGGGGGGCGGGGTGCCGCGGTGGCCGGTCCGGGAGGACTCCAATTCCCGCCCCGCGGCCCTGCAGGTGCGGGGGCGCCGGGGTGTTCCGAGGCCTCGGGGGGGAGGGGCGCAGCCGCCTGGGCAGCCGCTTCCCCCGTGACCGCCAGGCCCTGGCTAGGACCCGGGTGAGGGTGACTAACCGGTTGGCCCAGCTGGAGCTCTGAGCGCGGAGAGTCGCGCCCGCCCGCTTCTGCGCGGGGGCTGCTCTGTCCGCTCTCGCGGGACTCGCCCACTGGCCTGGGGGGCCCACGAGGGGCTGGAAACCGGAAG